GTCTTGGCTATCCCAGGACTCCCTCTATTCATTGGCTCCCGCTGCTGTCAATCACAGCCAGTGAGCCAATGAGAAGAGAAAGGGGGATGAAGGCTGAGCCTTGACTCCACGTAAAGCAGTTCTGTTACTGCTTCTGTCATGTGAGTGACACTCTGGGACATTTTTATGTGAAATTAATCAGTATTGCACTATGGGAGATGTCCTCTGTTCTTTCTATATGTGGAGTTAAGCTGAGAAGAGACCCTTATATACTGTCATTGAAGGGGTGCCTGTCATCAGACCTCTGCTGACATCTAGAGCATCTTTGCCAAGCCTTATTTGGCAAAGAATTGTTAGGCAAGGGCTCAACATCATAAGCTGATTGCATTCCTGAGGGAGGGGGAATGAGGGGATACATGAAGACTTCTTAATACAGGGAGAGCCGTGCCTGGCTCTTGTATGCATGACTGTGACACCTCCCCCCTCAGGTGGTTGCATGGGAGGGAACTACAATTTCCCTCCTGACGCAACTGACCTGTGTCCAGAGGTTCACCTTGGGTTGACAGGGTGCAATTGCACTGCGGGAGAACCAGGCTCATTCTGTTGTGCCGACCAAGGGAGTGGTCATGGGGGAGCACCAGTCGGCTGTGACTATCCGGATATTGTGGCGACTGCCGGGGTGCCCACCTGTTCACAAAACACTACGGCTCAGGGGTGTCATCCGCTAACATATTGAGATGGAGCTTTTTGTCGAGGTAGAGAGTGAGCTTTCCCTCTCCCTCCTCTGAACCAGGACTACATCTGACCCGAAGATAGTGGCGCCTGTGTGCACCGGAACCAGATAGGTGAATTCTGGAAATCGCTGCCCGGATGGGTCCACAGGTACCTTCGTCCAAGATGAACAGTCCTCTTTACCTGCTAGCATCCAGGACACCAGTTCCGTCAGTTTCCTGTCTGCTAGGTGAGTCACAGGTCCACCTGAGCCATGATAGTTGCACCCCGGCATCTTACCGTAGCCAGCTGCGTCCAAGACCGACGTAACCTGCTTCTTGACCTGGGGAGTCGGCCAGGCCATAACTGCCTCAGTCTCCCCATTCCCAGACCTCTGGGGGTCTCTTCCTACCGGTGGTTCCCAAAGCTGAACCACTGACACGCCCCTCTGACAGTTACCATTCTCAACTGTCAGACTAGGCAGTTCACTCCTGAATAGTGATGGGGGCCCAAGTTGCTCTTCCTAGACAGGGCCGAACACCACAAGGCCCCTAAAGTGGGCAACTGCACCCAGTTCCATTCCACATTGTAGGCCATTCCTGACCCCTGGGGAGGTGGTTGGTGCATTCTCAACCCCAATTAGCTTTCCCGGGAATTTAGGCAAGCCACATGGGGTGGTGAAGGAGTCCTGAGCCTCCTGGGTTAGAGATGGTGGCCCAGACCCTCTGCTCAGGTCAGCTCAGGTCCATGATGGATAGACAGCGGGCCCCTCCCGGATGCTTCATTACCTCATGGCTCCTGGGTATGGGGGGGTAGGCCACAACCACAGGGCTGGCGCTCAGTTTTCCAAGGTCCTCACAAAGTCTGGTCATCTGATCCTGTTTGGGGACCGAGACTACCGGGGATGCCCAGACTCTAGCCGACACAAATAATTGGGGATTAATCCTCCCGCTGAAACCAATGATAGGGCACTATATCTCCTGCTGTCAACAATGATTGGGGATTATTCCTTCCACTGACACCAATGATGGGGCACTATTCCTTCAACTGACACCAATGTTGGGACATTATTCCTTCTAAAGACACCAACAATGGGGCATGATTCCTTCTACAGACACCAACAATGGGGCACTATTCCTCCCACTGACGCAAATGATTGGAGCATTATTCCTCCAACTGACACCAACAATTAGGGATTATACCTTCCTCTGACACCAATAATTGGGGCAATATTCCTTTCACTGACAGCAATGGTGGGGCTTTATTAATGACATTTTCAACTCCCATTAGCCACAGTCCGCACTTTCTAAAGTCTGAAGGACAGTAAACTGGTCCTTCATTAAGAAAATGTGGAGACAGTTGGTCTACTGTAAATATCTCCTCAATCCTAGACCATCTCTTGTAATGTCTCCTCGGCCCCTGACCGTCTCCTGTAACGTCACCTAAATCCCTGATCGTCTCCTCTAACGTCACCTAAATCCCTGACCGTCTCCTCAATCCCTGACCGTCTGCTGTAACGTCACCTAAATCCCTGACCGTCTCCTGTAACGTCACCTAAATCCCTGACCGTCTCCTGTAACGTCTCCTCAATCCCTGACCGTCTCCTGTAACGTCTCCTCAATCCCTGACCGTCTCCTGTAACGTCTCCTCAATCCCTGACCGTCTCCTGTAACGTCTCCTCAATCCCTGACCATCTCCTGTAACGTCTCCTCAATCCCTGACCGTCTCCTGTTATGTCTACTCGGCCCCTGACCGTCTCCTGTTATGTCTACTCGGCCCCTGACCGTCTCCTGTAACGTCTACTCGGCCCCTGACCGTCTCCTGTAACGTCTCCTCAATCCCTGACCGTCTCCTGTAATGTCTACTCGGCCCCTGACCGTCTCCTGTAATATCTACTCGGCCCCTGACCGTCTCCTGTAACATCTCCTCAATCCCTGACCGTCTCCTGTAACGTCTCCTCAATCCCTGACCGTCTCCTGCAATGTCTACTCGGCCCCTGACAGTCTCCTGTAATATCTACTTGGCCCCTGACCGTCTCCTGTAACGTCTCCTCAATCCCTGACCGTCTCCTGTAATGTCTACTCGGCCCCTGACCGTCTCCTGTAATATCTACTCGGCCCCTGACCATCTCCTGTAACGTCTCCTCAATCCCTGACCGTCTCCTGTAACGTCTCCTCAATCCCTGACCGTCTCCTGTAACGTCTCCTCAATCCCTGACCGTCTCCTGTAACGTCTCCTCAATCCCTGACCGTCTCCTGTAACGTCTCCTCAATCCTGCCCCTGACCGTCTCCTGTAACGTCTCCTCAATCCCTGACCGTCTCCTGTAATATCTACTCGGTCCCTGACCATCTCCTGTAACGTCTCCTCAATCCCTGACCGTCTCCTGTAACGTCTCCTCAATCCCTGACCGTCTCCTGTAACGTCTCCTCAATCCCTGACCGTCTCCTGTAACGTCTCCTCAATCCCTGACCGTCTCCTGTAACGTCTCCTCAATCCCTGACCGTCTCCTGTAACGTCTCCTCAATCCCTGACCGTCTCCTGTAACGTCTCCTCAATCCCTGACCGTCTCCTGTAACGTCTCCTCAATCCCTGACCGTCTCCTGTAATATCTACTCGGTCCCTGACCATCTCCTGTAACGTCTCCTCAATCCCTGACCGTCTCCTGTAATATCTACTTGGCCCCTGACCGTCTCCTGTAACGTCTCCTCAATCCCTGACCGTCTCCTGTAATATCTACTCGGCCCCTGACCATCTCCTGTAATATCTACTCGGCCCCTGACCATCTCCTGTAACGTCTCCTCAATCCCTGACCGTCTCCTGTAACGTCTCCTCAATCCCTGACCGTCTCCTGTAATATCTACTTGGCCCCTGACCGTCTCCTGTAACGTCTCCTCAATCCCTGACCGTCTCCTGTAATATCTACTCGGCCCCTGACCATCTCCTGTAATATCTACTCGGCCCCTGACCATCTCCTGTAACGTCTCCTCAATCCCTGACCGTCTCCTGTAACGTCTCCTCAATCCCTGACCGTCTCCTGTAATATCTACTTGGCCCCTGACCGTCTCCTGTAACGTCTCCTCAATCCCTGACCGTCTCCTGTAATATCTACTCGGCCCCTGACCATCTCCTGTAACGTCTCCTCAATCCCTGACCGTCTCCTGTAACGTCTCCTCAATCCCTGACCGTCTCCTGTAATATCTACTTGGCCCCTGACCATCTCCTGTAACGTCTCCTCAATCCCTGACCGTCTCCTGTAACGTCTCCTCAATCCCTGACCGTCTCCTGTAATATCTACTTGGCCCCTGACCGTCTCCTGTAACGTCTCCTCAATCCCTGACCGTCTCCTGTAATATCTACTCGGCCCCTGACCATCTCCTGTAACGTCTCCTCAATCCCTGACCGTCTCCTGTAACGTCTCCTCAATCCCTGACCGTCTCCTGTAATATCTACTCGGCCCCTGACCATCTCCTGTAACGTCTCCTCAATCCCTGACCGTCTCCTGTAACGTCTCCTCAATCCCTGACCGTCTCCTGTAATGTCTACTCGGCCCCTGACCGTCTCCTGTAATGTCTACTCGGCCCCTGACCATCTCCTGTAATATCTACTCGGCCCCTGACCATCTCCTGTAACGTCTCCTCAATCCCTGACCGTCTCCTGTAACGTCTCCTCAATCCCTGACCGTCTCCTGTAACGTCTCCTCAATCCCTGACCGTCTCCTGTAATGTCTACTCGGCCCCCCTGACCGTCTCCTGTAATGTCTACTCGGCCCCTGACCGTCTCCTGTAATGTCTACTCGGCCCCTGACCGTCTCCTGTAATGTCTACTCGGCCCCTGACCGTCTCCAACAATGTTTCTGCAGTCTCTGACAGTCTACTAGCGCATTCCTACTGTAACCATCTCCTGTAGTATTCCGCAGTGTCTGCCTATAGAATCTCCTCATACACTGAGTAGGGCCGATGACAGCAAGATCCCCCCATTATAAGGTAACTTGGACCACCCTGTGGTCTCTCCTGCTGACGAGCCGCAACGACTTGCTCTAATTGGCAGCTCTTGGCTGTTCCCTCAGTAACCACGCTCACTTGTTACTTCCTCCACACAGTTAACGAACTACATGGAGATCTCGCGAGATGCTGTGATGTACGAGAACACCACCGCCTATGACAAAGCACGGGCGGCTGCTCAGCCAATGAGGTTCGGCGTAGGGCGGTGTGTGCCGGCTAAGCACGCTAGATTGTTCTGGAAGAGCCGGACGCGGCGTGGAGTGACGGTGGGGTTCTGTGCATTGTGTCCCACGCTACGAGTCTGAGTCATGGCCGCCGTCAAAGCCCTGAACCCGAAAGCGGAGGTGGCCCGAGCACAGGCGGCTCTCGCTGTGAACATCAGTGCGGCCCGCGGTCTCCAGGACGTGTTGAGGACCAACCTCGGGCCTAAGGGGACCATGAAGATGTGAGAGCGCTGTGTGTTTGTATGGGGTCCCGGCCCGACCGTCTCTGTGTGCGGTGCAGTCTTAGCAATGTTCACACTGGACGACCTATATCCCGGGCAGCGCCCATTCATGTGGGGGGCAATGGGGGTCCATGGCGCGGGGGGTGGCGGGATTCGGGCGCTGCCATATATGGGCATGGTGTGTGAACCCACGTGGTGCGGTTCTGTCCGCTCTGCTCTAATAGGGGTGCTAAACATATTAATGGGGGTGCTTGTTGGTTTTACTTCGCTCTGCCTATGTCTAGCTAGCGTTTGACCAACTTAGCAGGCTTAATGCCCCTTTCACATGGGTGATCTGATCAGGGCTGCTTGCCAGTTTTGCAGGCTGACCTGATCGGCAGGTCCATTCACCTTGTGGACAGTGGGTGTAAATGGACTTTTGCCTACATCCAGGTCTCATCCAGTCTGCAAATAAAAAAAAAGGTGGGCTCCATTTTGTTCGATGGGAACTGCCAACTGATCCCCTGCTGAGCAGTGTAGGTGGATGACAGGGACCAAGCCCGGTCTGATCTATGGGTAGCCAGGAATAAATGGACTTTGCTGTCCCTTTGCTCCCAGCTGCCCTCTGATCCGATCCACTTAGAAGAAGACAGATCCCCTTTTGTGAGGTGGGTGTACATGGACACAAGTCTGCTTATACCTGCCTTGCCAAGCCATAAGGTTGAATGGAGGGTCCAATCAGGTCCACCTGAAAAACTGACAGGCAAACCTGATCAGACTCTGTGTGAAAGGGGCCTAAGCAGATCTCTCCTCTTCCGTGTAGGCAGATGGAAGGATAGTTGGGTGTAAACAGACTGTGGAGTCCATTTATATCTGACCACCCATAGAGCAGAACAGGCTCTGCCCATGTCTGAGTTGACACGGACCTGTCATCTGCCCACTTTGTTCCAAATTGCAGGGGATCTTTGAACTGATCCTCTGCTAATCGGAACAGAATCTGCCCAGCATGAAAGGGGCATAATGGTAGCCATACACAGTATGATCAAACAAAACAAGTGAATCTGATGTTTATGTGTATCTGTGTTTGTATCTGATGTGTATCTGTGTTTATCACCTACTCCTACATAATTCTCATCGCAAGTAGAATTTAATTTTCACATTCATGATTCCCAATAGCAGTCCCTGAAACATTTCACTGATTCCACTTCTCTAAGGTCCCATTCACATGTTCTCGTTCCAGGAACATGCACAGAAATCAGCATTTCTGCGCGTGTTCCTGAAATCGCACATCATGTCGTTATCTCTTAATGACAATCCAAATACAGCTTGCAGATGTGCATTTCGGCATGTGACAGAATACTGCTGTTGCAAAAGTGTGTGTATGCTATGCACAAGTGTGAATGGGGTTTAAGAGCCTGTTCAACTTTGTTTTTTCCTCATGGATGAACGCAGGTAACTGCAATGACACGCATTTGTTTTGTGTTTCATGGGCATACCAGGATGCAGTGTTTCATTGCGTTCCAGAGCTGTGCGATATGAGGCAACATGTTTACATAATATCACACTGATCCTGATGGCCCTGCATGTCATTGCACAAGAAGTTCAGTGCACCATGCTGCTGTGCAGTGATTTGAATAAAGTGTCACTGTATGCACTTCACAAAGTTCACTTTAAAAAAAAAAAAAAGCAAGCATCACACTGCCTCCTGCTGCAGAGCTGTGCAGCTCACAACACTGGTGCCCGCACACTAAGCCATTCTGCTAGGAGTAGTGCTTTGGGCCATAAAGTCAGGCTGAGAATCGGGTTTCCCAGGCTTGGGTTCTTCTGAAACCATATATTTGTATTCAGTTACGAGAACCAGTCACAGTTGGCTCATGCAATCTTTTGTGTGATCCACTTCAAAGCAGGCCTAAACTCCAACAATTTAACTGTTTCCCAAAGTAAATACATTCCAGACATGCCATGAATGATAACTGTCACAGTTGCTTGTGCTCTCAGCTGAATTAAAGCCATCAAATGACTGTTGTCATAATGGACCATATGTGCAGGACCATATTTACATATCAGGCAGAGGCTAAGATGGCAGCTTCCTCGGCTACAAACGATAGGAGGGTTTATTTCTGCTTTAAAGCCTAATTCCATGTTTTAGTGAAACATTGTATGAATAAATGCAAAGCTTTATCAGATTGGCTGGGGTAGAGATGGTGATATAATCTGCCTGCCTTTTTGCTTCAGCCAATCAAAGGAAGACTTGTTTATATTCAAAAAATACAAAGCTCCCTGTGAATGGCTGAGCAAAAGTCAAGCTCCCTCGATTTTGTTCTGGGTGTGGGAGGGGAAGTTCTCATCCTGCTGAAATACGGAGCTGTCTCTGTGTATATAACAGGTTATACATTGCTCCTGGCTGCTCTACATTTGATGTCAGTTAAAGCAACCTGACAAGTGTAGTTAAAAATATTCTGAAAATGAAAAGGTGAACACCATAATCCCCCTTCACTTAACTACATGGTGATTGTTTTTCGGCATTCACCTAAATTAAAGGATAAGTTAACCTTTTAAAATCAATGCACTTATTTTCCGGTGATAAAATGTGCATTTACTTTTTTTTTTTTTTTCCTGGATCCTATAAAGCATTGCACCCGCAATCAGGAGTTCACAAGTGACAGGAAGAATCCATGAACAACGAGCAGAGTCCCCACACAGGCATGTTTTTAACCACCTTCTGCCCGTCCTATAGTACGATGGGCGCAAGGTGGTTCTCCTGTTCACATGACGTCCTACCATTTTCAATGCGCATGCGCGGCTCAGGGAGCGCGCAGCGCGGCGATCGCCGGTGCGACACAGCGGATCACGGAAAGAGCCGAAGATGTCAACTCGGTCATGTGATCAGCTGTGTCCAATCACAGCTGATCACATGTAAACACGGAAATGCCGGTTATCGGCATTTCACTCCTCTCGAGCTGTCACACTAACTGCTCGAGAGGAGATCCGGTAATCGGCTTTCCGCAGAGGGGACATGTACACTGATCATCAGGGCACTGATGATCAGTGTGGCCCCAGAAGTGCCACATCAATGCCACATAGCAGTGCATACCAGTGCACATCAATGCCACATATCAGTGCCCATCTGAGCTGCCTTTCAATGTCACCCATCAGTGCCAGTCAGTGTCGCCTATCAGTGTCATGTATCAGTGATGCCTGTCAATGCCCATCAGTGCAACCTACCAGTGCCTCCTCATCAGTGCCCATCACTGCAGCCTCATTAGCGCACATCAGTGAAGGAGAAAAATCACTTATTTACAAAAACGTTTTTTTTTTTTCAAAATTTTCAGTGGTTTTTGGTTTAAGAAAAAAAATAAAAATCCCAGAGGTGATTAAATACCACCAAAAGAAAGCTCTATCTGTCTCAAAAAAATGATAAAAATTTCATATGGGTACAGTGTTGCATGATCGCACAATTGTCATTCAAAGTGTGAGCGCTGAAAGCTGGAAATTGGCCTGGGCAGGAAGGGGGTATAAGTGCCCTGTAGGCTAGTGGTTAAAATTGTGACAGCGTATGCAGGGAGAAGTTCCCTGGCCTTCTGTCATAGGAAAGGGGGGGGGGGGAATTGGGGAGAGAGCTGCATGAGCGGTATCATGTTACATGTTCCAGCCTAAAAATGGGTGGAATATGTAACATGTTCTTTAAAGCATTTATTTTTAGGATATTTCCTGCAGTTTGATTTTAGTAGTGCTGATCTTGGCTGTTTTTTTTTGTTTTTTTTACAGGTTAGTCTCTGGTGCTGGTGATATCAAGCTTACCAAAGATGGAAATGTCTTACTTCATGAAATGGTAAGTTTGTTGCAGTGGTACCCCAAAGAATCATATATTGTGAACAACTGACATTCCACTTATAAACAGACTGTACCATGCATAAAAAAAACCACTAGTGATCTTTACAGTAGCTGGTGATCTCTAGCACAGAAAAGCATACAGTAAGATTGCAAATCCCCTGGCCAAAAAGTCTGTTTTTTTTTTTTTTTATTTGTTTCTGGAGGGTGGGAAGGTCTGCAAATGATTTTGGGCCAGGGATGCACTGATCAGTTTCACTCTTACTGATGCATCAAGCAGATAGAGATGCTGATGTAGTGAAAGTATTTCTGAATTTGCACAGCACACTGGATGCTGTATGTTGGATCAGACAATTATGCCTAGAAGTGTATTATATGGTAAGGTGGCTATAGGCAGCTTGGTAATTACAAGCAATGCTCTTGATTTCAGGATTTTATTATTTTTTTTTTAGCTTTATTATGACATTTGTACAGTACCGGGAAGTTTATAACCATTACCTGTGGCAGTTGGATCTGCTCATTATGATGCATGAATATTTTCCAGTCTCTTGGGAAAGTTTCTTGGAAGCAGGCCTAGTGGAGAGGAAAGTATGACAGTACCAGTTGTTCACAGCTGTTGGTGTTTAGTGAGAACAGGCAGGTATTATCCCACCCATTATTTTTTGGGAGATATAAGTCACCAGTGGCTAGCCCTGTCGTATGTATTAAGCTATTATTATTACAATAAACTATAATGTTAAGTAACTTTCTCTGTTTAACTTTTTAGCAAATTCAGCATCCGACAGCCTCTCTGATAGCTAAAGTAGCCACAGCACAAGATGACATCACTGGAGATGGAACCACCTCCAATGTTCTGATTATAGGCGAACTTCTAAAGCAAGCAGACCTTTACATATCTGAGGTATTGTTTGGTATGCATATGATGAAAAGTTTTATTATAACAGCGAGTCTGAGATAGAACTGCATAGGTACTATGTTTTGTTGCACCAGTTTTTTGTTCCTTTTACCTAATTTCAAATTTGTCGTTTTTTTTTTTTTTTTTTTTTTTTTTTTACTTCTCCACTGGCAGAGAAGTAAACGCAACTGTAGCTACAGAGCCAGATCCTTTCCCGATGGCTATTTGTTTTGTCAGGATCTACAAATCAGTTTTGATAGAAACATAGCCTGTGAGAAGCATAGTTCGTAGTGTGTGTGTGGTGTTGTGTTTTTCTTGTTTTGTTTTTTTGCACAGCTACTGCATATATTGGCAGTCCTGAGAAAGGTGTTGCACTTATTCCTCAACAACAGAGAGAAAGCGTTTCCTCTCCGCTCCTCACAAGACCACCTACTCTCTAGCTCCCTTGTCTCTTCCTCCCATGCTCATCTCTAGGACTTCTCCCATCCTCTGGAACTCCCTACCCCAATCTATCAGACTATTGCCTACTCTGCTCACTTTTAGGCGCACTCTGAAAACCCATCTCTTCAGGGAAGCCTACCCCGCCCTCAGCTAATACTGGAATCCTCTACTCTTCCAACCACTGCATCCCCCACAGTTATTACCTTTTGTACCACTATCCCCTCCCTCCTAGATTGTAAGCTCCAAGGAGCAGGGCCCTCAAATCCCTCTTGTATTGTTACTGTATTGTCTCCCACCATAATGTAAAGCGTTGCGCAAACTGTCGGCGCTATATAAATCCTGTATAATAATAATTGTAACCCAAAGAATATTATTGTTTTTAAGGGTCTTCACCCAAGAATTGTCACAGAAGGTTTTGAAGCTGCAAAAGTTAAAGCACTTAAAGTTTTGGATGAGGTCAAGGTTTCCAAAGAAATGGATAGAGAGACACTTATCAATGTGGCCCGGACATCACTTCGGACCAAAGTCCATGCTGAGTTGGCTGATATTTTAACAGAGGTAAATGTCGGTTGGTATAAAAATCTGTTCTGTAATCCCCTATGATCTCAACTTTCGTTGTCATAACATTTGGGTCCTGTGCCATGTTTGAATTTTGAAGTGATTATAAAGCCTTACATCTTGGGGTTTTTATTTTTCATATAACAAACAGATTTACTTACCTGCCCTGTGCAGAGGAACTGCGCAAAGCACCTCTGAGCCTCCTCTTCTCTGGTCCCCTGCTGGTACTGCTGGCTTTTTCTCCTCTTGGTATGCCACTGAACTGCAAGGGCACTAGTGAGTGTCCTCGTTCAATGATTTTTCCTGCAGACAGCTGTACTGAGAGTCCTCAGGAGCCTGACATTGCACCCGTGATCTGCTGATCGCAGGTGCATAATAATAATTAAAAAATTTATTTGTTTTAAATAAAAATATAAATGCACTTTTTTTTTTTTTTTTATAATAAAAATGTGCAGTTATTAACTTTATCCTTTTCAAGTGGTTGTAAACCTTAAAAGAAAATGACAGTAAACCATCCCTAATACCTTCTCCCTTTTTTTTTTTTTTTTTTTTTTTTTTTTTTTTTACTAATCCTATCTTTTTAATAAAATGTACTTTAAGGTAAATTTACCTGATGAACTTGCCCATCACTCTGACCTTCCTAGGATTGATTCCACTAGCTGCCCATGTCACAGCCTGAGCGGGTGGATATTATGGCTTGATTGACAGCAGCTCCTGAGTCCCACTGTCCTTTTACAACATGTCAGACTGGCAGTCCACAGTGTAAAGGGGAGGTGAAAAGTCTGATGTCACCAGCACACATGAGCTTCGTCACCGCCCCTGACAAGGGCTGTGCAGAGCAAGGAGACAGTAACCATGTGGCCTGCTGAACAAAAAAAAAAAAATCTTAATTAGCATTTTCTGTGTGAGATGTTAGTGATGTACTCTGTCAGTATAGGATAAGAATGTATTCATGTTTACAACTATTGAGGCTCTCATAATACAATTTTATTTAAGTTTGGCTTCTGTATGCTGTTAAAGAAATTAAAGGCTTGGATTTTCTTTTTTTTTTTACATAACAAAAATGTCCTCCTTACCTGCTCTGTGTAGTGCTTTTGCACAGAGCAGTCCTGATCCTGGCCCCTCCCCCCCCTGCTGTTTGCCCCCAGAGTACGCCGCTTACTCTGGGGGCACTTGTTCATGCTCGCTCCTGAACCCCACTCTGTGTGTTTTTATTAGAGTCTCAGTCCTGCTCACTCCTCATTGGCTGTGATTGATGAACAGCCAATGAAGAGAGAGACCCGGGAGAGCCAAGGCTCCCATGCACATTGCTGGATTGAGATCGGGCTCAGGTAAGTATAAGGGGGGCTTTGAGGGGAGGTGGGGCAGCACAAAGAAGCTTTGTTTGCCTTCATGCATATAATGCATAAAGGTAAAAAAAACTTCAGCCTTTACAGCCACTTTAATCTTTTTCTTATAAATTTTGTGCTGTGTATATTGAATGTCCAATTACCTGACATCTGTAAATATAATTCACGCATGGTCAATGGGCTCAAGGTGTTGCTGATGCTCAAGTTTCATTTAGATTTGTAAATTTAGTGTTAATATTAGAAGTCCATATTAGTGACAATATTAAAAGAAATATACCTGTTGTAGAAACATCTGATGGTAGATTGCATTCTGTGTAGCTAGATTCAGGTTTATTGTGATTGGAATGCTCCAAGCTGATATGCAGATTAGAGAATCCCTGTAGTCTCTTTTGGAATGGTTTATTCAGCTCTTGCCTTTCTTGCAGGCAGTTGTGGATTCTGTTCTTGCCATAAGACAAGAAAATGAGCCAATTGACTTGTACATGGTTGAAATTATGGAGATGAAGCATAAAACCGAAAGTGACACAACGTAAGTAGAGCTTTTTATTTGGGTAGTGTTAACAATGGTGAGCTCTGCAGCTGAATGAAATAGTCTTTCTATGGGCTGTTATTTGATTGATATGTTGTATATGCTGATGTTAAATCTTTCCAAAAAATAATTTTTATAATAAAATTCGTAATAATCTGGGGTCATTTTCCTCACCCTTTTAAAGTAGGGGTCCTCAAACTTTTTAAACAGGGGGCCAGTTCACAGACCTTTTACACTGTTGTGGGGCTGGACTATAGCTTAAAAAAAAATGAACAAATTCCAATGCACACCACAGTAGTGCACAAAACGGGGGGAAAAAATACAATATTTTAAAAAGCACTGGACACCGTAAAGTACTTGAAAACAAAATGTACTGGACACTGTAACGCAGGGCTTAAAATTTCGAGTCTAGACCTACTAGCCAGGCACAAACCTTACTCTCCATCAGTTGCCCCAACCATGCCCCCTTAAAGCTTATGAAACTACATTTTTTCTTTAGAATAAAGAGTCAAAAATATAAAAAAAAACTGCAATTATAACATAGCTTTATTATGTCAATTTAAACATAACAGCAATAGCTTAATAGCAATAGGGTGCAATCAAAATATCAAGTTTTACAGCTTTTAAACCTGTAGTAAACATTTTTTGTATTTTTAATTGATGATGATTTAATGATTACACAGGGAGAGCCACGTTCTCCTGATACACAGAGCCCAATGATTACACAGGGAGAGCCGCATCCTCCTGATGTACAGGATATATCAGCACTGCAGCACACGTGATTGGCTTCTTGTGCTGCTTCTCACTCTCCCAGTCTGGACTCTGCTGTACAGGGGCTGATACCAGGTTAAATATAGGTACATACTGTGCTTGCATGTAAAAAGAAAAATACATTGAATGATGAATTAATCAATACAGAGCTGCATTAATATGTATTTTGTTTTTATCTTTCTAATTCAGCTTTTGTTCATTTACTGACTGCGTCTTTGAAGGGACTGACTCTAATTTGCTTCTTTTTTTTTTTTTTTTTTCAAGGGACATTTGTATCTTTTTATATAAGATTAATATTACTATTGCCCCCCGTTGATCTCCTATTCTCATAATGGATCATTATTTGTCTCCTCTCAACGGAGGAGAGCGGAGCTCAACTGCACCTGTCCCCTCAGCGGCGCTGCCAGTTTAATGGCGGTGCCGAAGAAGTCGGAAACCGGAACTCGGCTTTACAATGAGGCTTGGAGCGCAGGTGGAGCCACTCCATCGGTGCTCGCCACACAAGGATTTCCCCGCATTAGGCAAGCGGCTTTTTCAAGCCCTGCTGTAACGCACTTTGCACTGCAATGCACTGGACACCAAAAAGCACTGTACTCTGTATTGCACTGGACACTAACGCACTTTGCACCGCACACTGTAACGCACTGTACAACAAAATCCACTGCAATGCACTGTACTCTGATACACTGGACACTGCAATGCACTATGCCTGGTGTGCTCTCCTCCTTTCCTGTCCTGTTGCTCCTCTTGTTGCAGCAGGTGAAATCTGGGGCTTGCAGGCTGCCGCTCACTGGGTCCTCGCGTCCGACAGCCTAGCGATTTGCTGGCCAGTGCCGTGTTGTTGCTTGTTTTTTTTTTTTTTTTTTTTTTTTTTTTTTCGTTTTTCTTCTCCAGCTGGCCCGGTGGCCGGATAAATGCTGGCCATAGTTTTGAGGACCCCTGCTTTAAAGCATCAGCATATCCTGCTGCTGCTTTTTAATGTTCTTGCACTGATAGCCAATATAGTTTTCTCAGGTGCAGTGTTATATATGTTCTGTTGCAAAACAAAATGTGTTCAGCTGCAGCTTGTCAAGTCTGCTTAAAGTAAGCCTATCTTCACAAAATATAACGAAACGGTGTAATAGGAAGCATATGGTCAAGATCATACGTGCAGCATTTACTGCAAACCTCTTAATTCCTGGAGTTTCAGCATGGAACTTTAAAGATCCACGCCTGCAGTGGTGCCTCTCAGTCTATAGTACTTTTGCCATGTATCGTAATCCACAGTCTCAGCAGCATGGCAGTGTTTAACGTGGTTGTAAACCTTTAAAAGAAATAATGGAGAAGCATACCTAATAATTTTAACCATCCCTAATCATTTTACCAATCTACTCGTGCCTATTTTTTCAGTAAAATTAGGTAAATTTCTCAGTGAACCTGCCAGTTATTCGCTTGGTTCTTTGTGGCAACTATCTTCAAGCTCACCCAGCCAGTGTAATCATAAGATCATACCTACTGCATTTACTGCAAACCTGTTTTTGAAGCCCAACTAAAGAATTTCAAAGATCCAACTTTGCAGCTGACTCCAATCCCTATCCTTCTCCTTTATTCTCAAGGGTCCCTGTTTCCGAAACCGTTTGGGGTCGGAATTATTATTTAGGCCTAAGCTGCATTTTATTGTGTGGAAAAAAAAATATCAAAATGGCTCTGGCAATAAAAACAAAACTTTAAACCACTTCTTCTGAAGAACCCTGGCCAGGTGCTGTCAAGTTATAGGGTAGGTAGCATAGAGAAAAACATTGAGTGCTTTGAATCTTCAAGGGTGGTAAGGCCTGTACCAGAAGTACAAAATCACGTTTCCTTTTGCAGTGTTTCTCACAAGTGTTCTGCTGAGGTTTATAACTGATTTATTTTATATTGCTTGGAACCACATTTGCTTTTAAATTTTTTAATTGCCTGCATGGATGAATTCTGCATCATCGTGTGGTGATTTTTGCAGTCAGACACCATGCTAGAGTAAACGTCATCTGTGCTTTCCTATGGCATTCTGTTTAGCATGTCTGCACACTTGAGTACATTTTTCATTTAGTGTATGTTATACATTCCTTGTTTACTTCTGGTTTTTTCTCAAATTGATTAGTTTCTTTTCTTAGGCTCATCCGAGGACTGGTACTTGATCATGGGGCTCGCCATCCAGACATGAAAAAGAGAGTTGAAGACTCATTCATTCTTACATGCAATGTGTCTCTAGAATATGAAAAAACGTAAGTGCTTGTTCATCTTGCTTCACATGCTTTTACATATATAGATGTTTATTAGGACAAAAAAGTAATTGCAATATCCTGATCCTGTTTTTATTGGAGGTTTCTGCCTCCCAGGTGAGACTAATTTTTTTTCCTTGCAAATGTTTAGAACAA